GCTAACCACGCCTTCCAATCTTCATAGTTTCGATCTCCACTTGCAACGCAAACTTCATGAACGACACTTCCCTTCCAGGATGAAAGTTCAGTGGTCTTAGGCCAGGGTTGGAGGCTGATCTTTTCGGCTTCTCTTAGAGATACAGATGACTTGGATCTATCCCTTTCAAGGTTCTCCAACTCCTTGACATTTGTGTTGTACTCGTTCCTGAGCTTCTCGAAGGCTTCAGCTTCTGCTCGGTATTCCTGCTCTTCATCATTGGCACGATCTTCAGCTTGAGAGAAATTGTTCTTATAGTAATCTTTACGATCTTCCATCTTCTTCAACTCATCTTGAAGATTTCGAACTTCAGCGTTCCTCTCTTGCTTCATCTCGTCCAACTCTGCTTTCAGTTTGGCACACTTCTCTTCACATTCATTCCGAGGCATGGCATTACTGGGGTACCCATGTAATGTAGTCGGTCTATTCAATGATGAAGAAGAATGAGCTTGGTTTTCCAACTTCAGGGCAGCAATGGTGCTCGACATTTCTTCTACCTCAGCGTAACGCTCATTGGCCAATTGATGCATCTCGGTCAAATGGCTTTCAGGAATGGAATAGTCAGTCGCACCTTTGATCACGAGTCTTCTGTCGTTCAACATCTTGATGGACTTACCTGCATCCCTGTGAGCACGCTCAAGAGAGTCCTTTTGGGCTTCAAGTTCAGTATGAAGGCGAGCAATAGCTGTATCCCTGTCATTGAGTTCATTGTGCAAACTGTCAAACAAGGTACTCGTCACATTCGGATTGTTGCTCATGTGATCGATCTTGTTCAGAGCATCTTGATATTTCTTACCAGTTTCATCAAAGTTTCGCTGGAAGACTTTGAGCAGGTCCTCAGTGTCAATGAGTTCAGATCTATTCTGCAAGTACAACTTGTCAACTTCGGCCTTGGATTCTTTCAAGCTGTCACGTTCACGCACGGCTTGCATGTACATCTCGTATAGAGGTCCTCCATGCGGTGATCTGCTTGGTGAAGATCTTCTGGCTTGTTGACAGGAAAGTTCATGATACTGATTCTTCGATTCAGTCAGTTGCTGTTGCATTCGATCTAAAAGACTTTGTTTCATGTGTAGTTCAGAACGTAGTCCCATTATCCTCATGTCCCGCATGCCACCTGATTCAGCTAGAGATTCTTCAGAAACCCTGTTCTCAGAAATCGCTAGTCGAGATTGTAAGTTCTCACTGTGGATCACCTGTAATCGAAGCTGTGATTCTTCCAAAGCTAAGTGATGTTCACATTCTGCATAACGGTCATGTTCAGATCTTATGTTACTACGGAACTCCTTCATGATCTCGTCCCTCTTCATGTCAGCAGCATCTAACTCAGTTTCCAGTCGCCTGACATTCATGGCCATGGTGTGCTTCATCGTCTGGTTCTGATTGGCAACCTCGAGCATCTCGATCTGCAAAGCACATGTTTGGTCATTAGCATAGCCGACTGCTAGAGCTTCTTGCTTGGCATTCATCTCTGCGTTTTCCAGTTCCAGTCTGAGTTGATTGATGTGAGCATTCGCGTCAGTTCCCACATGTACCATAATTGCGTTTGCTTGTCCCATTTGTTCATCGAATTCCGAACGTAGTCGTGAATATTTGAATTCCAAATGAGATGCAGCTTCATTCGACATAGTCTGATACCTTTCCAACTCTTCGATCCTGTAGGTCGCACCTTCATCTTCCTGTTGTGCAGCCTGTAACTCGAAGTTCAGCATCTGGAGTTGTTCGGTCATCGACATCATCTCTTGATGAGTGGTGCTTTCCAGGAAATTAAATTGTTGATAGGCATATGCTGTCGTCTCACTCAATCTTGCCTGAAGTACAGATTCTTCTTCAGTGGCCCTTTCCAGTGATGTTTTGTACTCAGTTAATTCACTCTGATAGGCAGTGAAGATGTCGCTACCACTTGACGGGGCATTCACTTGCTGATAAGATCCTGTCCCTGATGGAGTAGCGTCCTGAATCGGTGAAGGCGGATTCGACGACGTAGTCTTTGCCTTAGTCCTTGGAGTCATCGGAGGCGACAATTGTCGTGCAGATGATCTTCTCTTTCCAGGTGTGCTGTCCCTATCTTCAATTGCTTGCATTGTCGAAATTTGTCTCCCTCTAGGAGCAACCAGATGTCGCCTGGGTTGGCTTGTTCTCAGTTCTGAGGCATCGCTTCCACCAGTGTCGATACTCTGTGAAGAATTTGACTGCGTGCCGGCAGCTGGTGCAACGGCATGTCCAGAGAAAGAAAATGCATTATCGCTGCTATCCTGTTCAGTCATCTGTAAGGCCCGCGGCTCCCCGCTCGTAGGCTCCGTAGGAGTCCTACGGCTGATAACCTGCGAATCGGGGATTGCCTACCCGATTATGTTCCAATGGTTGATGTTGAGGATAAATGTTCCAGTTCGACGACGTCACACGGGCAGCTGCTTCCGCATTGCTGATCTTTTCTCCAGTGCTGCAGTGGGGTCTTGAGCCAAAGAGGCCAGTTCGGATTGCCCCTTTGGTGCTGGATCACAGAGTGTTTAGTTGTGATATTATACTTGATCCGTAGCCTACACTCTATTCGCAATATATTATATATATATATATTATATATAATATATATATAATATATATATAATATATATAATATATAATATATAATATATTATATATATAATATATATAATATATATAATATATATAATATATATAATATATATAATATATATAATATATAATATATATATAATATATATAATATATAATATATAAAATATATATAATATATATAATATATAATATATATAATATATATAATATATATAATATATAATATATATTATATATATTATATATATTATATATATTATATATATTATATATATTATATATATTTTATATATATAATATACAATATATATAATATATAATATATATAATATATTTTATATATTTTATATAATTTATAATATATAATATATAATGTATATAATATATGATATAATATATATATAACTTATAATATATATTATATATAGTATATATAATATAATTTAATATATTTATATTATATATATATATTATATTATATTACATATGTATATATATTATATTATATATATATGTGGGTGTTTCCTAAAATGGGGAACACCAAAATGGATGATTTATAATGGAAACCCCTATTGAAATGGATGATTTAGGGGTAGCCCCATTTTGACAGGAAACCCCCATATATACAATCTTAACAAATGTTAGCAAAATCATCAAATTATCTTAGCTAATCCATGCTAAGATTTATGTATATACAACTCCAAGAGATCCTTGGCACTGACAAAAAAAACTCGCCTGCAGTTCCGCAACTTTGTGCCAGGTGCCAACTGGAGAATCGCTGCCTCCAGGAGCAATTTCCATCTCAACATCACTCACATGCATCTGGGATAATCCTCGACCTGGAAACTCCATTTTTCGATGTATATGATACATGTATATACATGTCATATATCATCGCTTCATCATTAAATCATCATATATCATCATATTATATCATTATGTCAACTACTTCTGCCAAATATGGATTCAGACTTTTTTGACTGTTGATTCTTGACCCTTGGTCTTTGGCGAAACACCATCGATCCACTGGTTTCACCTCGGGGCATCGCAGCTCTGGTGGTAATTCTGCTTTCAGCTCCCGACAGCTGGTGGCCAAGACCTGGCCGGACACCGAGGAACACCGAGGAACACCGAGGGACACCGAGGGACACCGAGATCAAAAATCTCACTGTGACCGTCTTTTCTGACATGATGTGCTTTTAGTTGTTTATATGGGTCCCCATATGATGTTATATGCATGTGCATGTATAATCATGTATACATATGTATTTATAGAGTGTATGACATCCAGAGCCGAATCTCTAATATCTCAATTTTTCGGAAATTCTTGAAGCAGCTGACTGCAACTTGACTGCCTCTGCGATGCCAGAGTTTTTCGAAGGAGCGGACCAACCTTCAAGCCTCCACTCCGCAAAGAAAACTGCAGAAAGGATAGTAGATGTATGGTCTGACTATAATTGAGGTAATGCTTCCGCGCTGACTTTTGGCTATGTTTCTAACACCAAATGTGTTTTACAATGTTTTACATAAAACACCTCTATTTGAACGGACGGAAAATGCGGAAGGTCCGCCTAGCCGACAGCGGTCGCACCGCGGAAGATGTACGCTTTGACGCCTCAGCATCAAACCTCAGTGTAGTTCTCGAGCTTTGGTTTTTTACAGCTTTACCATGGATTTACCATGAATTTGCCATGAGTATATGACCTTTTATGACTTTAAGGGACCAGCCTGCGGACTTGTGCAGAGTACGGTCTCGCCTCAAAGTTACAGGTACGGAGCCGTCCACAGAATCGGCGTGGCGTGGAGTAAGGCAATTTGTGCCCGATCATTTTGTGCTGAGGCCACCAACGCAGGGTTCCACCATCTCTCAGAGGAACTATTCTATGCGAACATACAGAGACTGAAACATGAAACAAGATATATTATGTATATTATATATTTTTACATACATACATATATATATATTGTTGATTATTGTTATTATTGTTGTTGTTCTTATAATTAATTTGAAGTAGATTCAACGAAGTTGGATTCTCAGGGTACTCAAGGGTCGCAGGGAGGTCAAGCTGTTTGCTTTTGCATCTGTCACTTGCATCAAAACACATCAAGACACTGCATCTACTGAATTGGTATGATCTTGAGTGCTTGAGCCAAGCACCTTCTTGGAGGTGCTGATTGAGTCTGGAAATTACCAAAGATAAGGATACGATCAAGCACTGGTGAATGCAAGGGTTGATGCACTCCTCTCAATCCCAACACCAAACTGCATTCCAAACTGCTTTTATGGCAAGTACCCTCGAGCTAGCTCAAATTCAGGGCTCGCCTTTCACTAGTCGTCAGAAGTGCCATGAATGAAGGTGGCATATTTGTGAAATTATCGCTTATCTGATCAAGGAGCTTGCCGTAATCCCCCAAGAACTAAACTGGGTCTGGCTTGTAGCACAAATGAATATTGCCAACTTCGGCACTAGGTGCATCTTGATCCTTTCAGAGCTCTTTGGCCTTCTGCAAAGGATCATCGTCATTTTCAGGCGATGTCCAAGAGCAACACAATCTGCTTCGATGTGCACTAAAAAACCATGTGGATACCTGCGACAAAGATCCAAGACCAATACCAAAGACCAGAGCGTGATTGGAGTGTGCATAAAAAGCTGACTTGTTCAATTGAATACGGGGACATCCTGATTTCAGTGAATCATGTTTGAAGGGACAAATGTGGAGGGGAAAATGCATGACGAGCATCATGATATATCAAGATCTGGCTTTTGCTCACTCAGAATCTGCGATTCTTGGACATCGCAAGTCACTAAGCCCCGGATCCTTTTAATCCAGGCGTGTCCCGCGAGTTGACCATGGCCCGGACTGCCATTGCCATGTTTAAAACTGGCGATTCGCGCAGCTCAGAGAGGACTTGGCAGAAGTTGAAAATCTGGGAAACTGCTTTGATTCACTGAAATGAAATTATGATATTGTTGAATCAGATTGAATCCATTGGGCACAGATCAGACGAGTTTGCGCGATGAGGCAGATTGACTAATGCAAACAATACAGAGTCGTTTTGAGCACTCTCATGGTTTCTTCGAGCTCTATACCAAGTGCACAAAGACTGGAGCCAGCGTTGCCAGGATTTTTTCAACTGAGTTCCCTGCATGAACTACGTGAAGATGTCTGTCATTTTCTCTGACCTGCGGCACCATGATGAATCACCAGTGAGCAGCTGAGTAAAGCACGTCTGCCCCTTGGCCAGGAACATGGGTGTGTAAGCTGTGGCCCGCACAACCGCCGCTCTGGGCACGTGTGTCTGTGTTGTTCACAGCACCTTCCAACATGCGAAAGCGCAGCAGGGATGGACCAAATATGGTACTGAAGCGTAAAGGACATGGTGCCCTTAGCCCTTGACCAGGACTTCTTTTTTTCGGTCCAACCAAGAACCTCAGGTGCAAGCATTCAAAACAAAAGGAATATTGGCAAGTTTTTCTACCGTCTCTAGTGTTCGTGAGCAAGCTGGGATGTGCGAAGTGACTTGGATAGTGCTTTAATGCTTACTCCAGCATGCCCCGGCTATAGACAAAGCGACCATCCGTGAACAACAATAAACGCATCAGAGAGTGCCCGGGAATATTCACAAGCAGTGTAGGAATAGACAGATGGAGACAGATATATTTGTTCATGAAACAGTTCTAAAATGACTATGCAGATCACCTGGAAAGTCAGGGGATTGGGATGATATCAGCTTCCTGCTTCCAGAATTTGAATGCTATGTACCAGACATCTGTGTAGCAGTTGAACAGCTCTGGACCACCCTTCTTTTCCCGTCTCCAACACCTCAAGCGGCAAATTGCACACAGCCACTCAGGCAGAATCGGGCCAAATCTGGAAAACATTGGAAAACCTTTTGGCCTGCACAAGGTGGTAGCTGCAGGACGACTATGCCCATGACAACATCAACAGAGATAGCTATTGGCGCTGTTCTGCTATGCTCCATGCTGTGTGGAACTGAGTTGAAGGCCATCCCTTTTTTGCCATACTCCAGGCATTTTCCTGTCTCGGACACCAGAAATGCCACGAGCATTTCGCCGTGTGAAAACTGGGTCACAGGCCCAGTTTCCAAGCGCTGCTTGGCAGTCGAAAAGGTGACCTCTGGCAAGTGGAGTCCAACTGTCAAAGAGTCATACTGTCGCATTTACAGATGAAGGCCACTGTTTTTTTAATCTTCGGTGCCCGATTGCCCATTTGCTTGGAACCCCTGCCGTGATGTGAACTGCGGCTACCCAAGTCACCACGAAAGCCCTCAGGGATACCAAAGCCCTCAGGGATCATGCCTGCAAAGAGAGATGCAGCGTGGGCACTGTGGCGCTGACTCAGACTCTGAGCCAGCAATTGAGACAAAAGACATATTCAAGAAAAAAACAAAAACTTTCTTCGAAGATCTTAAGACCTGCTCTTGCTGAAGCCAAATCTGGCCTCCAGCTCCCCATGCATTTTCACCCGAAACTTCTGGCACTGCAGGTACTGCAGGTGCTGCCGTTGGTGCTGCTGGTGGTCCACCCTTCTGCTCGTTTTCCCAGCACCTGGCTTTGAGGGAGTTGGAATGGCGGAACCTTCCCTAAACAAATGTCGCGGAACTCGACTGCTCCCAAGAAGTGGAAACAAACATGAGACAATACATCAACTTTTAGCTCGTCGTACCTCTCTCAGGACTATTTCAACTGTCATGATGAGAGCCCTTGCCATGTTCCACACATCTACCCTGTCTATACCTGCCATCACCCAGACCACGGACACGACTGGAACTTAGATCCCAGGCCAAGTCTTCTTGCTTGGACTCCAGGCTTTTTCCTGTGTGTGTGTGTGTGAAATGCACCAGTTAGACTCAAAGGTCAGCCCCCTCAACAAAGCTACAACTGCATAGACTGCAGACAATGCTGCTTGAGACTGCATGATACTGCCAATTGGTTCAACATGTTTCAACAAACAGGTCAAGGCTTGTAAAGGCTTGTCAAGGACCAGACCCAATTGCCCAGGGCCTCAGCTACACTACGATTCTTAGATCTACATAGATGAGCTGCCACATAGAGCTGTGCTGTCGTCACAGTCCAGAAACAGCGTTCAACATGTGCAACTATCAACTACTGAGTGAGTATCTACCAGTACTGAGTAACTACTGCATTTGGTGCTAAAATGATGTGGATGGCCGATGGCCCTCAGGCGGAAGAGTTTGGGCAAAAAAAAATGGTGTATAAAAACCTATCCAAATTGTCCACTGATTCCAATGATTCCAATCCAATCCTTCCTTCAACTCCTTCAGCCTATCCAGGCCCTCCGACAGCGTTGCAGTCAAAGCGGAAGTGACGTTGATGGGTATGGCAAACGTTCATCTGTGAACAGCACCTGACAAACAAAGATGTTTCATGACATGGCAAACAGACTGTGGATGCAGAATCATTGTCGTGAGTCATGCTACCGTGTTACCTCTGAACCAGTATGATTCAGTATGATTAGCATCAAAACATTGTGCATTGCATATTTTGCGTTGATCATGATGAAACTTGAAAATCGGGCACATGGCACAACTGTGCTGAGGTCTCCATTTTCCACACGTTGAGACCTCGCCAGAGTCGCTGAGTTCGCAGCCAGTTGTTCTTGGCATCGCTCCAAGAGGAGGCCTGGAGGCCAATGTGGCCAATGTGGCTTATCTGTTTCTGTTCATTTTCCGATTTCTAAATGTGTCTACCGTCTGTCTACCCAGGTACTAAGATTTTGACCCAAGCCATTTCGAAAAAAACATGTGCAGGCGTTTTTTGCTCTACCGCCAGAGTCTCTTACGCAAAGGTGCAAAGTGACAGAAGCGACATGCTCAATGCAGCGTTGTTTGATTCTATAGCTCTGGAGTGCTTTCCAATGTTTGCGGTTCACTGTGAATGAATTCGTTCTGTATTTATGTACATTGTTGATTTGAACAGAGACTTTGCAATTTGCATATATTTACAGGTTGTTTCTTTAATCGTATCAGATTCAAATTTGTCTAATTACATAATTTCATGTTTGGGGTTAGCTGACTTCAGCTGGCCCACCTCTCCGATGTGACAGTTGTAGGCCAAGCGGTAACCAAGCTTATAGTGCTTCCAACACCTTAAACCGTTTTTAAACCACTTCGAATTCAGGCGGCAAAGTGACTTTTCTTCTGAAGTCTTGCTCTGAGGCCAGTGCCAAGTCTTTTTCGCTGGCGACCACGCATCTTCCTGAAGTCTCAAGCGTGGCTTGGAACAAAAGGCTGTTGCAGCTGTTGCAGCTGCAGTTGTCTCGACATGTCTCGACTGTCTCCACGAGGGCTGCACCCAATTTGTTAAGGCAGCGTGACAGTGGAAGCGCTGTCCCCTTAGATCGGACGGGTGACTACCCCCTCGAACCATACTGAACTTGATATTTCTATATCTGTGAACTCTGCTGCCCTTCCAGCTTTGGAACTCTAAAACTTCAGACTCAAGAAAATCAAGAGTTGACTAACCATAACTAAACTGAGGACACGGCAGGTCTTTCTGCTCAGTGTGAAATTCATGATGCTCGGTATGATGCGTGGTATGCTCTTCCACTGCCGGGTGATGCCCTTGATGCCATTCACCTCCATGATGCCAGGAATTGCCAAAGCCCACATCCTTAGAGAGAGAGAGAGAGAGTGGACACAGGCACCCGTGCACGTCTGCATTCCTGATCAACCAATGGAAAATCCGCATGTTTCGTTCTGCTTCACTCTGTTTCATTCTGAATGCGAGAACTACACATGCAAATGTTCCATTGCCGGCTTTACCAGATTGGACAACCGTGACAACCAGATACTACCAGATTAAATAAGATGAAAATTCGATTGAATTCGGATCAGGCCCAGCGGCCCAATGTCCACCATGATGCACATGATGCGTAGTGTAGGTGGTGTGGGTCACATGCACGACTCCTGGCGAGCTCCATCGGTGAACCAATCCCACCATCATCCACCATCCCTGGGTCCCTGGGCATTTCCAATGTCGGCCTTCTGGCATGCTGCTTGCAACGGGTATTGGTGGATGCCACTTCCATCCAGGACATCCTTTCTGCTCATGCCTAACATGGAGTCAAATGTTGGAAGTGTCAGTCAATTGGATTCTGCTTGATGTGAGAATTATTCGACGCAATCAGCTTGCTCTGAAACAGAAGCGTATCTCTATGACTATAAGCGGTGCTGCAGTGTGAAGGTGAGCTCAACAGTTGAGCGCTGTAACAAAAATCCTGGTTTCGAATCTAGAAAAAGTGCTGAATGATTTGGCACGGAACTCAGGAGTCAAACTGTAGACGCTCTTGCTGGCTGTTTTAGATCATTTCCATGTTTCACAGCACAAAGGACCCAGCGCACAACACCAAGTCTTCTTCTCAGGTTTCCAAACATGCTCCTTAGCCCAGTGGCTCCACACTTGGCGCCAAATCGTGTGCTGGCAGATTCAGGGTGCACATCGAGGGGTCAGATTTCAAAATCAGAAGACGACGCATCCTGGTCTAAGTGTGGGACCCAATGCTCCGCCTGTTCAGTGCAGTCCTTGGGGTGCTGCACAACCAAAATGACCCTTCAAATTTGGGGCAACCAAAGTAACCAAAGTGACTCAAGTCTGGTCTCAATGGGCTGTTGAAAGGAACATTGATGGGCCCAATTAACATTATTTTGCAGTGACATGGTAGTCGAAGTTACATCAGGCAGGCTTTATGAACAAGCTAAATAGTTTTGGTGCTAACCGTGCACCTGTTGAAGGGATATTTGTGAAGATGAAAACTTCACATTCTAGGGAGAACATGGGCTATTTAGAACACATGTGCAGCTTTTGCAAAGGTATTCAAGCTTGAGCGGGTGAACTTGGACGTAGCTTGCTTGAAAGCCCAGTGGCAAACCACTGCAAGCCTGGTTCGCAGCCAAGGTGTTCGTGCCTCAGTGCAAAATGGGATTGAAAATGAGCGGAGGCTGCCACACTTTGGATGTCAAGAATTGTTTGCATCCACTATCACTACCCAGCACTACCCTGTGATGTTTCACTCTGACCTGGCTCAAAGGATAGCACTGTAGAGCATTGTAATGCACTGTGAAGGATCCGTGACCCTCTTTCTTGGAGATGACAATTCATGGCCATATGCAAGGCAAAATGATCTGTGTGTCATTGATGCAATTGATGCACTTTCACTGTGGCTTCGGACTCGCAGCACCAGACCTTCTTTGGCGTTCCCCAATGAAGCTTGAAGTTCACCAAGTCTCAGCGCACAGTGTTTCCCACGAGGCGAATGGCGAACCAGCTTACAAGATCCTACAAGATCTTACAAGATGACTGGTCAAGATGGTCAAGATCCAATGCTCTTTGGTCTTGAAGCCACGTCCAATTTGTTTCTTCATGTTTTTCATGTAAAGTGGCTAAAGTATTCAAAAGTGGGGAAAGATGACGAAAGACATGGTGGCACCTGGGCTGATTCCGGCGCTGCTGCCAGGTCACCCAAGTCGCACTGATATCGAGCGCAAGCTTTCTTCTCGCGCCTCAGAGCTGAGAAACTCCCAAGAACATCGTCCGGGTGAAATTCGGTGTTCATGTGAAGCACTCCGAAATGAATATATATATATATATATATTATATATATACTATATATAATATAAATATATATATACTATACTATACTATAATACTATAATACATATCATATTGTATCGGTTATATCCCAGTTATATCCCAGGTCAAATGACTCGTCGGAAACATCTGAGGCAAAGGTCGAAAGATCTTAGGCGCCAGCTGGCAGCATAATTCCTTCTTGCGCGCATCCCATTTCTCAGCCCAGGGTGATGGTCGAAGTCCAGAAGCCCAACGGGCAAAGAGAATAGGAAGACGGGAACAACGGGAACAACGGAGAGACTGAGACTGTATAGTCATTGTATAGTCATTGTATAGTCATTGTATAGTCATTGTATAGTCATTGTATAGTCATTGTATAGTCGTTTTTCATGTGGCCTGTGTAAATGGAAAGTCTAAGCACACAGCGATCTCCCACTCTGTGAAATCAACGTTGCCTCAGTGTGGAGCTACTGCGCAGGTTTGTAGCTTCAAGCCGCAAGGGTTTGATGATTGCATTGGGTCAAAGAGGATATTACAGGAAAATCTGAAATTAATGCCATGGAAAGTATTCGATGATTTTGACGCCACAATTGCCAGAGTCGTTCATTGCGGAGAGCTCCCAAAACGCATTACATGCTGCTTGTAAAGGAAAGTGCCAGCGACGAAACTTCGGTATCCATTCTTTGCTGTCTTACGTAGTGTTCTCACACAACATGGCTATCTAGCTTTATGGGAATTACCGAAAAACTATATAGATACATAAATTCCTGACAGCGAACAAGTAATTCAAACAGGCAGGTTGATCATACATGATGAAGACCGTGTAAACAATCAACGAAGCCCGACGCTTTCGTAGCCAGGGAGAAAGGTATTCTGCAGGAATGGGCTACCCCTTTGCGGAAATTAATGCCTAAGACTCTACGACTTTCATCGACTTTCCAGGTTCCAGAGAGGAACTTGACGGAACTTGGCATAATTTGGCCCAATCCATGACGCCAATCAGCTAATCCACGCTGCACATCTTGCAGGGTCCAAGGATCACTTAGGACGACTTTTTGGATCACTTAGCCCGACAATCTTTGATGTGGATTCAAACCTTTAGGGTTTATATTTAGGGGGGAATGGGGACTGGGGACAGTGGGGACAACTAGAGGTACAGGACACGACCCAACTCATATTGGAGCCCATTGGCTACACAAATATGTAGGATGATGATATTGATGGTGGATGTGAGGATGGTAATAATTGTGATGATTTTTGTGATGGACTTGATGTTTGATGTGAGAACGAATAGTAAAGTAGGTGATGGATTTGGTGCTGAACATGATGATAGGTGTGATGATGATGGAGAAGAAGACGATAAGGATGATGATCATGATGATGGTGATGGATGGTGATGGATGGTGATGCTGGTGTTGATGAGCTGGCGCCTGCTACTGACTAGTCAGTTCGGACGAATACTCTATATTTAATAGATAGATAGTGAGCATAGAATGCATTTGTAAGTATCAGTATATGACTTAATCAGAATGTCCCGATGATCATCTTTAAATCCACGTGTGCAAGTCTGTTGAAATCATGTTTGGATATAACGATATATTGTTCTATTGCAAATATACGCATGTATCTGTGACGTAGGCCTAAGCGAGCCAAAACGTAGGCCTAAGCGAGGTACTGGCCCAAGTCATCAAGCATCAGACTGGATGTCTTCGAATCAGCTCAGGCCCCAGCAGTCAAACTGAGAGACCCCATGCCTAGCACAGGCCAGGTCTGGACCTCTCACATCCTCTCACTCTTGATCTTTATTAAATTTTATTAAATGTTATTAATCTTCAATAATTTGTCGATAATCTTTATAAATCTCTATCTCCGGTCTCTTTCCATCAGAAACACAGCTGAACTTGGCGTCCACACACCACCGTTGTCTCTATGTGCTTCGTGATTTGGTGATGTGTTTCTCCGTGCCAAAAAACATAGCCTGAGACTTAGAGACACAAGCAGGCGAAGATGGTGGAGGGGCTGCCTATTAGGGTAAACTTTGGCAAAAAGAAAAACCGAACAGCCCTCAAACTCTGGCAACGCGCAATGCTGCTTAAACACCTACTTACCCGACTTACCCTTGACATGCGAGAATTGGACCAATCGGCCTGCCGACTGAGCCTCCCGCAACCGGACATCTCCACAGTGCACTGCCCACCTGGCTGCAATCGCATTGGGTCCAGTCTTTGCTCGAAGCGAAACATGCCACGGCAGACAATGATCGCATTCACCAGCAACCAAGTGATGAGCGGCCACCTAAATCAAAGCTTTCAAAGCTTTCTATTGAAATTCTATTGCAAACGACTGAAAGCCCCGAGAGTGGTGGCAAGATGTGGCAAGGCTCTTACATCGAAGAGTTGATCTGGCTTGCAAGCTTGAGCTGAAGCAACGATGTTTCTTGAGCTGAAGCAACTTGGCAGCCCATGGCTATGCTGGCTATGCATCCCCGCACAAGCATGTTGTTGGTTGGCAAATCGGTGTGACGCCGCCTTGGCTCAACCACAATAGCATTCTCGTCTGCTGTCATGGCACGCACAAGGAATCCTTCAACATCTACCCTGTCTGAAGATACTCCAAACATCTTCACGCTATCCAGTTGGTCGTTCATTGACATAGCAAGCCAAGAGCAGAACATATTTGATGCGCTCAGCACATGTGAAGCTTTGGGAGTCCCAGTTGCAAGTAGCGCTGCAACCTCGGCACAGCAAATCTCGTCAGTCAACAGGGAGGGTGATGCTTACGATCACGGTGCGTGTACAGGCATAGTGACATTGTGCATGTGTCCCTGTGTGGGTGTGCAAATTGGTATTTCTCCAAGATATCTGGCATGGTGTGTTGCCAGTACCAACCAAGCCGTTGTCAGATGCTAAGCTCAAAACCGCCCAAGCTACCACCGCCTTCAGGCCCTGGCCTGATCTGGAGACAACTCAAACACAACAAAAAGATACAAAAAGGATCAGCATCGATCAGCATATTGTCAGTGCCAAATTATTGCTTGGAAAAGTCTCAGTTTTATTCTGTAAGCTCTGTAAGCAGTTCTCAGCAACAGGCCCATGATCCTCACATCCGATGTCAATTTTTTTGCCTGAGCAAAGGCCATAATGGACCTAGATCTGGCTGACAGTTCAAAGCTAAACCATAAACGGCTAACCATTGCATGAAATGGAATGCACATACTGACAGGCTTTACATCAAAAACCACAGGAATCTAAACACCCCTTCTGGGAAAAGATGGTACGTGAGATTCCCAAGACATGGATAGGAATGAAGGGTACTCCCCAAAACATTTGCGGTTTGCGGCCGCTTGTTGGGGAGCTTGCAGTTTGTCAAAGATCTATGGAGAACAAGGCTGCGTTTCAGCTCCCGAGGGCCCGAGGCTGGCACAGCAGTACTCTTTCTTAGCATGGTGCCTTGGTTGAGAGAAGGGGGCTGAGACCCACAGCATCTGATCAGGATAGTAATCCGTGCTTTTGCTCTCTTCCAATCCAAATCCAACTTGGGAAGCACAGGAAAAGAGGATATGGATGGATGTGGGTCATTTTTCGAAACCCTACGGAGCCTTTTGCCAGGGCTGTACTAAGCCACCTGCCAACGTTCGCGCCATCTGGAAACGTCTCTAAGGCAGTCATACCTGGAGCTGCACTGGTTGCTTTCTTGCACATCCCAAAAAAGGATGATTTAAAAGTAGAGATAAGATGATTGAAGTCATATTGTACACGCATTGCTGCATCACTTGACTGATCTCAAAGGATTTGTCTGCGTGTCAAAGCAAGGTTTGTATAGGCCCCAAGCGGGTAAAGTGGCTTCTTTTCTACCCTTGGCAGCATCAAGGTTCATCAAGTCGACTCAGGTGACTCAGGATCTGAGGCACAAACGGACAACCGATGTCTTCGTGCCTGTCAAGGCACACCAAATGTGCCAGCAACAGGTTCACCAGAAGTGCATGGGATCAAAACGATCAAAACATACTGGGTATCAAAACTAATCAAAACTAATCAAAACTATAAAGCCATGTAAAACATTGTAAAGCCAAGAATCTGTGCATCCAAGCCACATGCAGCACCAGTGCTGTCGCTCTGCCGACCAGGTGTGTGGCGAAGTCTTAGGGGTTTGAGCACCACATGAAAAAAAAAAGTGAGAGTTCCACTTCAAAAACATATCTGAAGATGTGTACAATATATGCAATCTATATTTACAATTCTTTACATACATATAATATACACAATGCTGGTACTTCAACTTTGAAGGCAATCTGAAAATTTGAACATGACTGAGATGAGCTGCTCCATCTCGGCAGTGGTAGAGATCGCAGCCGATGTGGTGCATTGTACCTGAGTGAAACCCAGCAAAGCTACGGCCTTAAACTGTCGAGCTACCACGGTCTCTTAAGTCAAACATGCAGGGTGTGTTGGATTTCCTTTGACGCTGCATGACGCTGCTCATGAAAACATATGGAAACTCTTCACCTGATAAGTCAAAGCTGGTTTTCAAATCAACAAATGCCGCCAGCCCTGGGTTCCCTGCAGCAGTAGTGCCGTTTCTTAAGCGTCCATGAGGTTGGCGACTCAGCCAACTTCACACTGGCAACGTCTCAAACCCTTAAAAGACATACGGGTGCAAGTTGCCGGTGCAAGTGCGTATGAAGGGTTGGTTTACCCTTTTTTTCTGCCTGTTTCATCATGAAAAGTTCACATCATGAGGATCGTGGTCCAATTTGCTGAGCTAAGTACAGTATGGCAGTTGATGGGTGGAGGACAACCTTTTTTCTCCTCGTCGCAGCACCACTCCTCAAGGCAGCATGCGATTCATTGATTCATTCTGCAAAGCTTAATCAACATCTTGGAGTTAAATTGAAACAATCACCATTCCAGGCATTCTTTCTGTACTAGTCATACTTGGCTTTGTCTTTGTTCGGTCTGAACATGTCTGAACCCACTTTTTCATACTTTTCCAAGTACCTGGGAGAAGAAAAAAAAAGGAAATGACAGGAAATGACCTCACCTGCCCATCTCCCATTGTCTCAGGGCCTTCTTTTTTTCAGACCATGCCCACTCGTGATTCTTGAGGTCCTCATCACCTGGAAACTCGGCAGTGGCCAACTGGTCCAACTGGTCGGACTGGTCCGACTGGTCCCAACTCACTGTCTTTCTATGTTTGGAAGGCCACTGCATGGCATCTAGGCTTACAAGAGAAGTGAGAGCCCTCCCTGTCACTCCTGTCACTCCTGTCACTCTGCTGAGATGTGTGCAGTCAAATTTCTTGTCAGGACATCCTCTCTTGAAGTGTTTGCAGCAGAATTCCTCAGACGCTCGGAAGAAGTGCAAGTTTGAATCAATTAAGCTGTTGCCGCTGCAATGAGTTTGATCTAAATCAACCAGTTTTTACTCCTACTCTGTCGAATAGAGACCCTTGGTGAGACCTTTCCTGCCAAGAACTTCAGAAAGAAATTCAAATTAATTTTCAATTGGAGAGGCCTCCCAAATTGCCATACATTGCTTGGATATGACATTAAAGTTTAAAGTTATATTTATATATATTTATATTATATCTAAATGTCATATATGTATGTGTATAGTATAATATATATATACATATAATGTGAATGATTCGTGTCAACGGTAGTTGCATGTAGTTGCCTTGGGCCCTGGCGCCCTTCTCTTCAGGCCAAGTGCCGATGGGTGTGTTCTAAGTGCCGCGGGTCACAAGGGCAACCGTCACCACGACGTCACGACGGCGTCACGTCACGGTCACGTTGGTCGGAAACCAGTCCTGCCCTGACTCCCGACGTGACCGTTGGGGTCCCGACGCAGTAGGCGGGGTCATCCCTGCACAACGGTTAAAAATGAGACTGCTCTAAGATGATTTGAGGAAGAATCTAAAGTCTACTGACTCTACAGCAAAAAACATCAAAACCCTGTGACTCCGGACGAATCAATGGCATCTGGGCAATTGGTGGTTGACGAAGTGGAGGAGAGTGTTAGCCTCAGATGGGATGAAAGGCGATTCGCCTCGGGTCTTGATGGAATCCACAAAAATGGTAGGCTCCTTCTGCAAAGGCAGGGAAAAGGCAGAGAACAGGCAGGGAAGAGGCACGGAGTGCTGTTCACATTGGAACGAAGTTGACACTTCCAACTCAGCCTATCACTCAGGAGGGCAGCGTCCTTCGTTCTTGCAGCACCACTCCTCGACGGAGAACATGTCCCAAGCCGTGCGGCTGTGCTGAGAACTTGTGCATTGTCTGTCACACGGATCAATGCAAGCTATCAATGGCTATCAGTCCCGCTTGTCACCGAGGAACAGTCTCACCTTAGCTAAGGCAAATGGTAGAACTCCCACAGAGTCACATTAGGAAAGTCGACAGAGAAAATCAAAGAAGAGGTCAACTCAAATGTCCACTCATTGAGGCAAACACATCTCCAGTGCAATTGTGGCAGGCCACATTCTGCGTGCTGCAACAATACCTTCGCTCGTTAAACAAACCAACACTGCCTGGCTCAACAAGTCCCAAGACTGAAGGGATTGAATTCATCAGAACGTGGCAGCCTCATCTTCATATTCCTCGTCTATTTGGATCATTTCAACACAATTATATGTGCTTCCCAAACAAGACGGAAAGGAAAATGCTCTCGATCGGGCAAGAGCTTCTGAGAACATCCCTCTACTGGATACAGCAAAAAGAAATTGCAGAACATCCTCTTTCAAACAAAGGTGGGAATGAGTTGGAAACGTCTTGGGGTGATCGCTCTTCTGGCCAAAGATGGAAGAGTCTGTGCGGCATTGCATCAGTGTGCGATGTGCTGCCACTGAGTGCATCCTAGTGAACTACCTCTCTTGACAGTCCCTGGCAGTCCCTTCAATTTCATTAAGTCTCCGTTAGTCTCATGTCGTTCCATGTTTTTCCTTTCTCCAGGCCTTCATTGTCTCTCTGTGTTTCGCTTTGCTCGCAGTCCGCAGTCCTACTCAGACTCTCTCTTAATATCTCTCAATCATCTTTGTCAACTTTAGGGTCTTTAGTCTCACCTTTCCTCCTTTCTTTCCTACAGTCCTACTTGCCTTCCTTCCATGTATTCCTATACTGCACAATCACATTTCCCCAGCTTTGCAACCCAACAGCGAAAGGTTCCAGCACAGTTCCAGGACTGTTCTGGTTTTTCGGGGCGTGCATTTTCGTGTCACCAGTCTCCCGGCCCCAGAGATTGAAACCCAACAAATTGTCCCTTTGGATCCACTATGTTGACGCTTTACCTTTGGGAATGCTCCGGCGCTGTTCGCTTTCAAGGCAATAAGTCCTGAGCCAGGAAGGATTGTGACCCCGCTTACAAGCTGTTCACTGATCCAATATGAAAGCCCTTATAGAAACAGTCCACAACCTTCATCTCAGGCGACCCAGGGGCACCCTTTCTGTTCTGTTGACCACTTGGACATGCCAGAGACGTCCAAGCAAGAGTAGCATGCCTGCAATAGTGCTGCAAGGTCAATGCGTATAATCGGCGAACTTGTGCGATTCTGGATTCAATTGTCGCGAGGCCTTCTTCTCTTCTTTGCAGCAGTACGCCTTCTTCTTGTCCGACCAGCCCCTGCGAGTTTTCAATAAGCTATGCCGCTGACTCTCCAGCTTGGGGTCGTCCTGGAGGATGTTGCCTTTCATCTATCAATCATTGGACAGGTGAAAAAAGGTATGTAGAAGGATTTAGATGTGTGACCTACACATAAACACCAATCGGCCAGGCGTAGTTTTAGCGCCTGTCCCAGTTGGCAAGGCCAGCGTTGCAGTCGTAGCCTTGAACAATCGAACAGAAAGTTGAAACATGCCTCGTTTCCCAGTTGCCTCAGTTCCAGTCTCTTAGATCTAAGTCTTGCACAGCCTTTGCCTTCTTTTTCGCAGCAATAGTGCTTCCTAGGTCCGGATCGCATTTGCACAAATGGCAAATCCGGCTAGTGCAGCTTATGCACAGATCAAGCAAGCGAGAATCCGGGGGAATGTGGTCCAATCAAGCACATTTGATAAGGCTGCCAGCACAAAGCACTCAATGTGACAGACCAGTTTGCTCTCTCAACATGTCTGATCTTAGGCACACTGACATGTCGTAGGTTGAGTCCGGCACTTTTCTGCCGTCCACTGCACTTGCCACGTGTCATAATTTTCCTCGTGGCTTCACGGCAGCGTCAAGTTGGAAGTGTTCGATTGTTGCATTTTTGGGGGGAATCGAGTCTATAGAAAATACAAAGTTTTCTTAATAATCTATAGACTCAAGCCCAGGCTTCATTTGGCTCACCTGTGTCTCCATGACATTATGACACCAGGCTAAAACAGAAGCAGGCGCACCTTGCAGTCGTAATTTCCCATGCAACCTTTGTGCATGTGCTGACAGCACCAGTCCTGCGGGGGATGCAAAAGGCCTCCTTCAATGTAGAGCCTCTGTTTCTCTGGCCACTGATATCTCTAAGTACTCCTCTGCGAAAGTGAGTACACTATATTGCATAGTATATGTGTTATGATTGTATATGCATTGTGTCATAGTATGTGAATAAGATTGAATAAGTGTGTAACTCATATCTACATAATCTACATGTACGTACTGTAAATCATCTCATGCCAAAACTCTGGTCCTGCTTGGCCGATGGCCATTTCTCTTGATCAGCGAAGGTTCCCTGGGCGTCGGGTTGGCTAACCTCTCCCGGAGGTGACGTGACAGGAGGGTGACGCGGCCTCGCATCTGTAAGGATGAAGATAGCCCTTTTGCTCATGGTCCCAACACCTTAGAGCATCTTCTGAGTCTTAGAGCTTCAGGTCGTGCAAACTTTCCGCAGGCCTTGCTCCACTGATCCCGACTGATCCCGACTGATCCCGACTGATCCCGACTGATCCCAACTCCGTCTACTTTCAGTAATTTCATGTAATTTCCACGGTTACCACCCACAAGATGCCACGCACAGCCTTTCTCGGCACCAAGCCATTTCTTCTTGGTGAGGTTCCAACTGGTTTCCTCAGCAAATCCATTAGCTTGCGAGCTTGAGATTGCACACTCTCACACTGGAAGAATTGAAAGAATAAACACTCAAACAAACGATCCCGTCTCGGTCCAACTTTGTCGAAAACTAGATTGCAGGCGCTTGCTCGATAGTTCTCGTAAGGCAAAACATGTGCCGTTTCATGACGCAAATGAAGATTGTGGAGGTAGATGAAGGTACTGTCTCTTGGACAGGGTTCACCAGCTGGGTCCCCTACCCACGTCTCGAGGCCATTGTCACAATCGAAGTAGGGAGCACATCCCAACTGCTTGTTGCGACAGCACCTCCAAACGGAAGAGAAATCTCATTGGTGGACTTGCTTGAGCAACTGGAAGAAACTCCCCAAAGTCCTTAACACAGCAAGGGCATCCAACTGCAATAGCATCAGCGCACCAGTCTTGCTTGTCCGTGGACCAGCCGTTATCCTGGAGGTGTCTGTATTGAGGGCTATGATTGCAGTCATTCCCTGATGGTGTTGGACGAGGCTTGCAAAGCTCATAAATGCTTCAAAAACTTACTGTAGTTTTGGAGGAAGGATTTGCTCCAGCGACCAGTGGATTTAGTACAAGCTGAGTGGGAAGGCAAGTGATATCTGTTGCACTGAAGGGGAAAAAAGATGAAAAAAGTGAAAATAGTGACACCATGTGACACCACAGTCACCACTCCCCCCGCAGTCCGCGTTCTCAACGCCATCTGCGCAGTCGAAGAGGTCGTGATGTCCACCAGAGGTCCAGCACCTGGAGGAGACTGCGATCCCTGCCACGTCTGCTACACAAGTTTTGGGACCAACTTGGACCAACTCTGCAACACTCCAAGTGTTACCAAGTGTTACCAAGTTGAAAGAGAAAGGCTTTTGATTGCATTTTGAGTACGCCACACATGTTGTCTGATTCAACTTAAGGCTGTATGCTGCATTGCTGTTGGTGGCCCACATCCTTAAAAGCTAAGGACCCCGGCCATACTTTCTTTTCTAGGCTCCAATCAGTCTCCTTTCAAAAATCAGTCACATTAAGAAGCAAGCGAGCATATGATGCATATGAACATGCAAACAAGAGATGCTGCAGTGTGTGTTTGTGTGTGTGTGTTGTGGTGCACCCAAGGCCAAGGGTGAACACGGTAAAGACATGTCAAGACATGTCAAGACAGGGACTGTATCAAGATTGCAGCTGGGTATCCGCACCCATTGTGACAAACCAGCGAGGCAATCAAACTCCGTGACATTCACCGTGCAATTGGGGCTTACTTGACAGCACCTGCAAGTGATGTTTTTTGTAACACTGATGGAATAGGCGTATTTCAAGCAATTTTGCTTCTGGGATGTTTTGAGGTTGCACAAAGAAACAGTATCAGAAATGCTGGCTGCTCAGGGTCGTTGAAAACTTCCCCTGGAAGAGATGGTCATCCAAAGGCTTGACATTGGAAGTACCCTCGAGCAATGTCAGCATGCACGGCTGGAATGCTCAGCGACTGCTCATAAGGCCCCGACCATTGCTTCTTGGTCTGCGTCATATTCTGCTCCTGTAGTGTAGTGTGGGATCTCACATGGGGAAGCACCAGGCCTTTACCTACCCAACCCCCTCCACGCCACCAACACCCTGTCCTTCTTCGAGCAGTTTATGGCAGTGTCGATGCCTTCCACCACTCCCTGTCGGACAATGCTACAGGTGCTGCTGCATGGTGAAAGTCGGCAAGCCCCAAGACAGTGCCATGGCAGAAAGATCAGAAAGATCACAAAGATCAGAAAGATCGACAAGACAAAGATGACAACAATGACAACAATGACAACAATGACAACAATGACAAAGCAAAGAGTCATAAAGAGTCATAAAGAGTCACCTCGTGCCCCCATTCGTTCCCACCTGCGGTCTCCAGTGCATGTCCTCCTTTTCATCGAGGTGGCTGACGTCTGGAAATGTTTGGTGGACATGGGTCACATCGATGGAGATCCTCAGCTCAGCTCTCGCGAGATATGGCCTGTTCCACCTTTTCCATTGCCCCGAAAAGCCAAGGAAGGCTCTCCGTTGCCGAATGCCCTAATAGTCATTACTGCAACAATTCTTGAGATAAACAGGCTTCTCTTTTGCTGGTGATGTCCTTACATCACTTGTTGCAAGTGACTCTTGAACAATGTATTGAATAGCATTGAAGTCCTTTGCTCGAACAGTGAAGCTAGCAACAGGTGTAGGTTTAGTCTGAATGACAGGTGTGCAGGACCCGGACACATGCGACCCGAAGCCCTGCAAGTCAAACAGGTGAAACATAGAGCAACACAGATCTCCACTGCTGTTCCCTCAACATATGGCTGCCAAGGTTAATAGTTAGAGAAGTATACATAGTGTTATCACCAACCAGTGAAACGATTTTGCAAAATTCACAAGCCTGAGCCTCAGTCTAATCTTCACGCTCTGCTGCACTGCTGCTATAAGCATGCACAGAATGGCATAAGTTGAAACAGTTTTGAAACCTGTTGAAATGTTGCTGAAATACAGCACACCAACTCCATTTGCAACGCACCTGGCAGTCGCAGTCTGCCCAAGTGCCGTCCACACGGCTACACCATGGCTGACCTGACGGGAGTGCCCTCTGAGCCGTTACAAATGGCGCGGCTGCGACCCGCCTCCCATTTGGACGTCATCAATGGTGCACCTGAGCTCTGTCAGAGCTCTGTACGGAACTATCAACCGACGAATGGCCTCACCACTCTGCCCTAAGGTCCAAACGAATAGTGCCTTGGAGACAGCATCCGTTCGATGCAAACAAAGTATGTACTGTATATGAAGTACTTCAGAAGCCAAAAGTCAAAAAGATCTTCAAGACTGGACACATTAAGCTGAACGAAAGACTCGGCTAGGAACCGAAGCGTGGCTAAACAATTCTAATTTACTTCTGCCGCGATCCCCATCCTCTGAGATCTCCCTGAACCTTGCTATCCGAGCAGCTTTTTGCCATTCCACTTGAAAGGAAAGTCACAAGGGATGCCCCCGGCTGTTTTTGCATCGCATGAGGTCACGAGCTTGTGACTCACCTTGACAATGTCACGGAGTCATCTGAGTCACCTCTGAAACAGAAACTAACAAGAAACCAACACACTGTTCCCAGCTGAAATCCCCAGTGGCAGAAATGTGGCCACATACTTCCCGCGCATATCTGTCATGGGTACAACACCAAAGTTGCTTCTCCTGCCAAATCCAACATATCCAATCTGAGGCAAACTCTGTGTCCAGTGACTCCAGTGTGTCAAAACATGAGCTCCTTGGACCAACTCGATTCCCAATGATCAAGGTGCCGCTGGCAGTCCCAAAGAACCTCAGAAAAACATCGACAAACCAAGCAAAGCGACAGAATCCAATAGACCTGGTCGTCAGGTCGTCAGGCTGAGTCTGCCATCCAAGTTCTAGCTCGATGTTCTCGCATGGCTGTCCAAGTTGTCCAAGATGTCCAAATGGTTCTGTGCAATCTCGCTGGCTCAATTCTCTATTTTCCACATCTTTAGTTTTGAAAGTCGGCAAGTTTGAATATTTTGAACTAAGGAAAGCACTGGCTTTGGCAGGAAGCCTCCCAAGGCCAAACTTCGGTAGCTGTAATGGGGCGACATGTTAGCCCGGCACATTCACCAGAAGCCCGACAAAATAAGCCTATGTACTGCCCAAACTAACGACGAAATGCATCATACTATTGGCCGGACTATACCCTATGCAGCCTATGCCTAAGATGCTTCAAGGCATGTGTAATCGTCGCAAAGAGGCACTTGAAGTGCACTCTGGTCCTAGTACACAACAGCACATACAGCACTTGAGTCTCGTCTACAGTAAACTATTCGATATCTGTTTCTTCTGCATTTCACTTTCTCTGTCTGTCAGCCACCATCAACCATTCAAACTTCCAAAAGAGTCTGCCCAGCCTGAAATCCGCACATTGCCAATATAGCATTGCTCCTGAAGATGTTAGTCAAAAGAGTGAGTGAGAGCCCTGCGCACCACCAAAACTTGGATGGGCATGACATTGATAGACTGACTACACAGCAATCATCTGCCAACGGATTGTCACAGCGGCTACTTTAAATGAACATCTGTAGATGTCGTTGATCTCACACTGACCATATCTGACCATGGAGCCCTATTCGCATCTATTCGCCCCAATGCCTTGCAGTCCTTGCAGTCTTCCAAGGGAAATGGCCCATGTGTTTTCTCACGACAACCACCCTGGGTGGCCCCTTCACCGTGACCTCACGACTTGCACGACGCCAATCCCACCAATCCCTTTCCAATTGGGCATATGCGACATACCGGGATGCCCAAAATGCCCGAAATGGCCATGTTAGCATTACTTCAATGGGGAAAATATGAAAAAAATGATGATAACATTATGTAACTACTGGAGTTTGGGGTTGCCAAGAGACAACCCTGCCAATCAATGCCAATCACATGGTTCCGTCTTTTCTTAAAGTGTGGCCAAGGCGAACGGCTTCTAAAGCTAAATGGATAAACCACGGTCACCTGCTAAAATCGCGGTTTCCTCCATGTTTTCTCAATGTCACCTGGCTTAATTCTGTTGTTCTTCCATGAGTTCTTTGGGTGAACCCTTTGCTCTTTCTCTTTCCCAGAAGTGTCCAACACGCCTAGCTCAGTCATCATGTTCGATTCCATGCTTCAGAAAAATCCCTTTCTCTCTCTCTCTCTCTCTTTCTCTCTCTCTCTCTGATTGTACTTTTCCAGTCAACGAATCATTGGAGAATCACATCTTAACCTGCACTGATAAAGTCGTTGAAAGCAAAACAAAATATTTCGCCCTTCCACCGTTTGTCTCATTCATCAAAAATGCACTCCGTGTTGGTACCTTGTAACCTGTAGTACGAATAAAACAGGTCCCGTATCCTGGCCAATCATTCCACTAACACTAGATCAATCCCTGTCTTCGAAGTCAATTACAGGTGTCGATGTTGACCATTTCGAATTTTCATGTCGCCAATTCTTTAGCCAAATTTCACAATCCGTATGCAAAGATCACATATCGAGAAGTGGTGTGTTCCTGCATCGGGTTGACTTCTGCTTCGGTAAACCATGGCTCGTAAACTATGGATCGTAAACCATGGCTCGTAAACCATGGCTCGTAAACTATGGATCGTAAACCATGACTCATAAACCATGGCTCGTAAACCATGATTCGTAAACCAAGACGGCCATGACTCGTAAACCATGGCTCGTAAACTATGGATCGTAAACCAAGATCCGTAAACTATGCTCCGTCAACTATGCTTCGCGCCACAACGGCGTGCACTTTTTCGACATCTCAACTGCCAAAAATGGTCCGGACCTGGTGTGTTTTGTACATGTTGACTTCAAAATGTGCTTCGCGCCACAACGGCGTGCACTTTTTCGACATCTCAACTGCCAAAAGTGGTCCGGACCTGGTCTGTTTTGCACATTTTGACTTCGAAATGTGCTTCGCGCCACAACGGCGTGCAATTGTTCATCTCTCATCTCCCCAGATGTCTCCGCATCCGCCGCTTTAGCGAGCCTACTTTTCAACCCTCCGGAGCCACAAAACCACCAAAAAACACAGTGTTTCGCGACTTTCCTACCTTTTCACGCACCTGCATCTTCTTTCTTTTGACTCTTTCTCTTCTAATCTTTCTCTTCTCTCTGCCTCTGCCCTGCTCTGCTTTTCATCTGTCCATATTGTCGGAAGTTTGACTTCTAAACTTCCTTCGATGATGTGTAAGATGAGACTGTGCATGTACTTGCCAGAGGGGGTGGGATTTTGATATGACGTGGAAGATGAGAATGTGCATGTACTTGCCAGAGGGGGTGGGATTTTGATATGACGTGTAAAATGTGGCTGTGCTTGTAATTGCCAGAGGGGGTGGGATTCTGATATGACGTGTAAGGTGAGACTGTGCATGTACTTGCCACAGGGGGTGGGATTTTGATATGACGTGTAAGATGAGACTGTGCATGTACTTGCCAGAGGGGGTGGGATTTTGAGATTACGTGTAAGATGAGACTGTGCATGTACTTGCCAGAGGGGGTGGGATTTTGATATGACGTGGAAGATGAGACTGTGCATGTAGTTGCCAGAGGGGGTGGGATTTTGATATGATGTGTAAGATGAGACTGTGCATGTACTTGCCAGAGGGGGTGGGATTTTGATATGACGTGTAAAATGTGGCTGTGCTTGTAATTGCCAGAGGGGGTGGGATTTTGATATGACGTGTAAGGTGAGACTGTGCATGTACTTGCCACAGGGGGTGGGATTTTGATATGACGTGTAAGATGAGACTGTGCATGTACTTGCCAGAGGGGGTGGGATTTTGATATGACGTGGAAGATGAGACTGTGCATGTACTTGCCAGAGGGGGTGGGATTTTGATAGGATGTGTAAGATGAGACTGTGCATGTACTTGCCAGAGGGGGTGGGATTTTGATATGACGTGTAAGGTGAGACTGTGCATGTACTTGCCAGAGGGGATGGGATTTTGATATGACGTGGAAGATGAGACTGTGCATGTACTTGCCAGAGGGGGTGGGATTTTGACATGACGTGTAAGATGAGACTGTGCATGTACTTGCCAGAGGGGGTGGGATTTTGAGATTACGTGTAAGATGAGACTGTGCATGTACTTGCCAGGTGTAAGATGAGACAGTGCATGTACTTGCCAGAGGGGGTGGGATTTTGATATGATGTGTAAGATGAGACTGTGCATGTACTTGCCAGAGGGGGTGGGATTTTGAGATTACGTGTAAGATGAGACTGTGCATGTACTTGCCAGAGAGGGTGGGATTTTGATATGACGTGTAAGATGAGACTGTGCATGTACTTGCCAGAGGGGGTGGAATTTTGAGATTACGTGTAAGATGAGACTGTGCATGTGCTTGCCAGAGGGGGTGGGATTTTGATATGACGTGGAAGATGAGACTGTGCATGTACTTGCCGGAGGGGGTGGGTTTTGGTTGCTGAGGTTTGGTTGCTGAAGCGAGAGTAGATTTTGGTTGCTGAGCCGTAGTTGCTGAAGCGAGAGTTAGTTTTGGTTGCTGAAGCGTAGTTGCTGAAGCGTAGTTGCTGAAGCGAGAACCTAGTTTGGTTGCTGAGCCGTGGTTGCTGAGCCGTGGTTGCTGAGCCGTGGTTGCTGAGCCGTGGTTGCTGAGCCGTGGTTGCTGAGCCGTAGTTGCTGAGCCGTAGTTGCTGAAGCGGAGTTTAATCTCCTGCATCGATATGAACATAGCAGAAGATGGCAGCACACATAAATATATTGAACCAAACATTCCAAAATAAAACATGAATCCCGCTGATTGAATGTAGTCGAGCATTTGCAAGAGAAAAGAACAAGTGATTCAAAATCAAGGTATCAATAGGTATCATCAAATTCTTCCAGTGTCCTGATAGTTGATTGAAAGATGCTTGGGTCAGAAGGTAGCTGACTGTGGCTGACTGGCTGACTGTGGCTGCCTATTGCAGTTTTCATCTTCAAGCGCTGCCAGGGCACAATAGAAGCCGCCTTCGTCAGAAATTGGGTCATGCCACGCATCTGGGCCTGGAAGAGCAAAGCTTCGTTGTGGAAATGTCACTACTGACACTCTTTCCTTGTAGGTAGGAAGGCTCAGAGTATAAGTTGCCGTACAACTACAACATTAAAGTCAAGAGGCAGCAGGACCGAAAACGGAACTTTCAATATTCCCCATTGTGTGAAAACTGCTGAATACTGAGACTGTGCGAGTCAATCCGCTCGAGCCAGAAAACTATGAATCTGGCCCAGCAGATGGCATTGATCAGGGTGGTCATACTGAGCAATCACAACTTGACTGAGAGAAAGACATGAAGTCTTCAGATGCTTTGGACAGATGCGAAGGGAGCCAGACGAAACTGAACTCTCCTGTGAGAGGTGCTGTCTTGGCCAAGCAAATCAATACAAACAGATACGAACAGCAGGAATTCGCAATCAGTATTGACTTGGGGCTGCACTTCCAACCAACCCACATGCATCGTACTCAACAAATCATAATCTCATCCGTATCATCCTACCAACAGCATCACCCAGGTCATCTGAGCGTGTGCATCAACATAAAGGGCAGAAGCATCACAACAGCTGTAGCATCATGGGCAACAAATCATTGTCGGGCATTCACAATGGCAGTGTCAGAGCTATCGGCTGAGGGGTCATCTAAAAAGGCTGGGAAAATTAATCATGTCAATATCAATTGGATCGGCGCTAGCTACCAGCTCAGCATGGGTCACATGACAGTCCGTTCCATTTCCATCACTCCAGCTTATCAGACTGGAATCAAAGACATTTACAAATCAAAACCAATCCAACCCGCAAAAACTGAAAGCTGTCGGCTTCTGTGCTCCTCTGCTCCACAGGCAACTTGACCCTCCTCAGAGTGCTCACAGCACCAGCGCTTCTTTTCGTTGCTCCAGTGGCTCTTCCATCTTTCCACATGCAGCAGACAGTCGTAGGGCACCTGAGGCGAGGTGGTCCAGGAGAGCCAAGTTCTGCAGTGTATCCACTGAGATATCTGAGATATACTGTGCGTATACTGTATGTATTTAAACAGCCACATCAAGTCAGATAACTTGATGTGCATATCATCTATCTGTATTTACACTGTCTACACTGAGTCTACACATTTGATTCATTTGATCATAATCATACGACCTCCTTTTAAGATTTGAAAAATCTTAGAACACCTCGACCTTGATGAGATGAGATCCTGCTTTGCGGCCACGCTACAGCGACATCACCACCACCTGGTCCAGGAAACCACTTGGTGCTGGCTGCAAAAGTGGCTACATGATACCTATATATATTATTATTATTATTATTATTATTATTATTATTATTATTATTATAATATATATATATATATGTATGTATTGATTGATATATTCAGATATACATATATATATAATGATATTGTCTGATGATATTATCAATTGCATTGACAATTGGGATAGAGTTAACTCGCGTTGCCTTTGACCATTTTGATAACGGGTAGATTTCTCTCTCAGCTGCTCATGACTAAACGTACACCCCGATGCAAAGTGATCTTCGCCTGGCACGTAGACACTGCCGATGGAGCACTGAGCCTAGAGGTGCCGAGATCCAGATTCCCAGAATGTAAAAAGGCGTTATAATCTATTATAACTATATTTATAATAGTATCATAATTAAAACTTTCATTAATGGATCTTTGATGATTTTCGCACCAATCCAAATCGAGGACCATCTTGTGTCCGACTGAAGCCGGTCAGCCCCTCAGAGCCCTGTCGGTCCTTGCAGTCTTCTACAGGGAATGGCCCTTGGTCAGCCGGTCTACAGCCCTTGTCAGAGTGACCTGAGAGTGGCGCAGCACCACTGGGCTGTCGGATCACCGGAGGCGAATGATGTCGGTCTGTCTCCCTAAAATCGTAAAGTGAATCTATGTATATCATAGATTAATGGGGTTGGCCCTGGGGGTGCTTGTTTCACATGCATTGAATATACGTATAATTATACTACCGAACAAATCCAAACACAAGGTCTGTTTGGACACTGACAGTCCAACTTGAATCCGCAAACCAAGCTACAGAAATAGCCACTAGAGTCTCCAGTCGACCATTCCTTTGGACCTTTGCTGTCTTTCAACTCTGGGGCTTTCTGAAGATCATCTGCAGATTTCGAACTCAGAGGTACCATCTCTCCAAGTTCAAGCACTTACTGGGGTGCCCTGCAGTGTGACTTCGCATGCTGACAAGGTTCGACAGCTTCTAAACCAGTGCGCAACGTGTCCTTGCATCAGCAGGATCATATCTCTTGCACTTGTCATGATTGTTGTGGCTGTACCGGGCAAAACTGGTCCAACTCTTCAAACTCAGCCAAGTTGCTTTGGACACCGAAGTCGAAAGTTGGGCTCCAGGATTTTGGTCGGCCTTTCATCAGCGAAAGAACGCTTTGAACACAGTTGCACAGTCCGGTCCGGCGCTCCTGGCGCTCCTGGCGCTCCTGGCGCTCCTGGCAGTCGCATGCGGACCACCTGCCGTCCACCCGGGAGCACCAAGGTTTTCCTGGCACAGCACATGACATCGGCTCAAAGACCCCGACGGGTACAGAAAGCTGTCTGCGAAACAGTTCCTATCATGATGTGAGCAATGCTCAAAATATCTCAAAACCCTCAGTCATTTAAAAATGGTCGGTTGACACGGATTCCCATAATGGATCATGATAGTCGCCAAGAAACTGGAAAGTATATAACCCCCACAATCATCAACCAACAGCGATTTTGAACACTGCTCATGTTGATTGCAGCACATTGGATTTTAACTGGCCTGCCATCAAGCCCTTTTCCACAACGCACCTGCAAACCGGATCCAAGTGCAAGTCCGTTGCAAATATGATGCATCTGCTTGGAAGGAAACTGACAAAGCACGCGATTTGCTCCAAGTCTAAAGCCACTAGAGCAATGCATCTAGGCCCCAAACGAGTAGTGCCTTGCTTGGGCGATGTCACATTCAATGCAAGGTGGCAAGATGAAGGAATCGAAGGTGACCACTCCATGTTCAATCCACCATAGGTCAGGAAGTGCTGACTTAGCCATGACAGACTTAGCTGACAGACCGAACAAACTAATTAATTATTCAGAAAAAAAAAAAAAAAAACATCTTGACGTATCTTGGCATTCTCAGTGCAGAGTTTTGGTCCAAGTGGCTTCTGTCCTCCCCAATGGAAAGGGAAATTACAAGGAACACCTCCCGCTGTGTATGCGCCGCAGACCTTCACTTCATGAGTCACCTCGGTGGCAAATAGAAACCAAAAGAAAATCTAGCCCGAACAGCACCACCCATTTCTCCAAACCGAAAAGATTCAATGCAAAGTAATGCTTCAATGCCCAAATTTCTGCAAACAGGAAACCTTGATAGCAGCACACACGCTGTGAGCACCCTCAAAATGTTTGCAGCACCAACTCTGCTTCTCCTGAACAAATCAGTGCCATGTCTCACGTTGAGCTGGATTGCTTTACACGGGCTGCCAACCACTTCATGCAAAGCCTTGGTATACAAAGGTGTACATATATATGTATATGTATATAATATATATATATAAGAAAATATAAGGTATGTACATATATACTAGCTGATATAGTGACTGTTCTGCCGACACTGTCCTAAACTTGCTCGTATCAAAGCCAGGTTTGTTTGTAGGTTGTTTTTCCCCGAACTGCCCCAGCTTAGGGGTCTCAGTCCAGATAAAGGTTCCGTGCGGCTTCCGGCGCGGGGTCTCGGAGGTTGCAGAGATTCTGGTACAGTTGTTCCGTAGGTTCCGACGAATAGGTATGGATGGTTCCAAGGGTTCCAGTGTGGTGTTTGTGGTTTCTTGTAATGGTTTTGGTGTGGGTTTTGGGATGGTGCGGTTGGTGCGGTTGGTGCGGTGGTTTTGGGCGATTGTGGAGATTTGGCTGCAGGGTTCGGGGCAGTTTCATGTGCCGGTGTGGTTGCGGAGATTTGCGGGATTGTTGGGTTGACACTTTCCTATAGCACAGTTGCTGTCGGGGTTACGACCTAGGTTTATTCGTGTGTCTCCTGCATTCAGAAATCTGGCGATACCATTACAAACAATCAGCTCATACTGTACGTGTTCGCTTGTTCTCAAGAGAGAGAGAGAGAGCTTGAGAGATGCTAGCCGGAAGCCAGCTCGACCATGTCTTGGCTGTCTTAGCTAAGGCAAACACAGCAATAGCCCCAAACCTGTGGGGTGAAACCTTGGCTCCCCTTCCTTCAAGGCCAAAGACACAGTCAGTCATCCGAGTCTCCTTCGACCATACGGAGTGCCAAGTCTGCAGGTGTAGATGACAGTCCCAGTAGACCTTTGAGATCGAAAAGAACCGAGCGCTGAGAATTCATCATGACTTTCATCATGATTTTATCACGAAAACAATAGACACTGTAAGTTTCAGAAACACTCTGCTGCAACATCCTGTAGCAGTCATTCATAGAACCTGACATAGGATGCATTTCACGGTTATGTCATATGGAGACTGGCTAAGCGGCTAAACACTGGCAATGCGAATCTCTAAATCATTCCTGGGTCGAGCACTGGCTTTGGAATCCAGCCTCACAAGGAACCCAAACGTGTTGGAAATGTCAGCAGGACAGTTTTCCTGCACAAGTACAACAGTACATCGTTGCTACACGTTCACCAGCTGCAACCAGGATACCTTCACGAGCTACCCTGCCAATGTAGCACTGCTCCTGGAAACATATTTTCCATCAAACAGCCTTGTTTCATTTACATTTCATTTACATTTCATTTACAGTGTCGCATCAGACGCCGGCAGCTTTACATCGCCACAATGCGTCGAGCCGAGTCGAGCCTTGCAACTTTCCAATGGGAAGGGACCGTCCAAAGCGGCACGGCAGCCACTACTCTCATGACCTGAGCCCCAACGGAGACGAAATGAGACGACGGAGACGAACATGTGAATAAAACTCGTCTGAACGAGAGTGATCTCCTTTTGCTCTGGAGATGCAGGGCAAGAACCAGTTGAAGTTGGGGCGTGGAATCAATGAAAACTGTCGTCATACTCAGCCAGCGCACAGTAGAAGCCACCCTCACCAGAGTGGGGCTGGTACCAATCGTGTGGGCCTCGAAATTCAAAGGTTGTACAGACCTTCTGAAGGTGCAAGTGCTGCAAGACTCTTTGTTCTCATAGTAACATAGTATCTGAGTTGTCGGAAAATGCTGAGTTTGAGGCAGGAAGTTTTCAAATCTGTGTGGCATCTTCCAATCGTAGAGGCGGAGTTGTCCTGCGTGTTGGTCCCGAACATTGTGAAACGATACACTCTGAGAGGCACAGGGGGCATCTGACAAGCAAAATACAATGATTATGTCAAATCTTCACATCATTCGCAGAGGGAAGAAGAACCCCAGCACATTCCTGTCAAAAGCCACCGGTGTTGCAACATGTTTCCATCATGTGTCAACCATATTTCAACCATGTTCACAGCCATCACAGGATTTCACAGGTCCTTTTCTTCACAGGGGCCATCCGAGTTTGCGCAGCACCAGCGCTTCTTGTGGTCGCTCCAGTCTTTGGAGTTCACCTTCTGGCAGTTGAAAGGCACCTGAGTCTCTGGAACCCCAGATTTCACCTTCACAAATAGGTGATGTCTGGTGGCTTTATGCGTAAAAAATCGTAAAAAGAACTATAAAGAAGTTCAATAATTGCTGAGCTTGGCATAGCTTGGTTCGTGGAGTCATCTGCCAGATTAGTTCATCGGAAGCTGTGCCATTGCATCTGAGATTAGCCACAACGTGACAGTTGTGTGAGGCAAACGTTTCAAGCCATCAGTTGCCACTGAGTAACTGCTACATCACCTCCTCCTGAAGTGAACACGAGGCGAGATATGTCCCCAATTAAACACTGTCGTTTCACTTCATCAAAGCAAGTGTGCCGCCTGCCACATCGACCTTGCCAATGGAGCACTGAGCCTGTAGACTGCAGGGTTCAAACTGAGATCAACCCCAAGCTTCCAACAAACACGATCATCGACGCATACCGAAGCTATCCAAGCTATCGAAGCATATCGAAGCAACAGCTTTGTGGTTTAGTCAGTTTAGTTTAGTCCTTTCAAACACTTATTTAGTCCAAGTCAGTCCAACTCTTGTCCCGGTCCTCACACTCCTCCGACGGGAAAGGTCCGTGGTCTGCAGGTCGGCAGCCAGAGTGAGAGTGACCTGCGCTGCTGGTTACGGAGTCACGGATCTGGGCAATTCCTTAACTTCACAACGGCCAACTTTAAATCCACTGATATCAATTGAACACTTGTAAAGTCCTGTAAAGTCCTGTAAAGTCATGCAAGATCCAAGTGGCAGAAATAGCCACCCGTAGCTTCATGCTCCCACGCTCTTGGACCTGTTCACCAAATCAAACTTGTTGAAAGCAACGCACCCGTCTCACACCATACATCAGCGTGTTGTTGACACGTTCCATGTGTTGGTATCTCTTGTATTATGCGTTTGTCAGAAGACTGTGTACCCCAAATCCGTTGGTTCCCCATTAAATCACGATGATCACAATGTTGGGTTTTCTGGTGTATCCCTATTTTGATCTATTTTGGACAAACTCATGTCGGATCAGAAAGGAAATGAGCAAATGATCCACGGTGCAAGCTGACACCATCTGACACACATCTGGGACACCCTGCACTTGTGGTTCGTATCCGACGCACAAGGATGGACCTGGGCAAAGCCTCGCTCAAGCTGCTGATGGTCCTCAGCATGTTCGCCGAAAAGCTGAAAAGATCTACAAAGCATAATCAAAAAAAACATAAAAAATAACAATATCAATGATATCAATATATAATGAAAATATATGAAAATGTGCTCAGTCGGAGCACCTTCTTAGACTCATCTTGCAGGGCTTGTTCGGCAATGGCCTCCTGAAGCTCTCGTGACATCTCGTAAAATGGCACAGGTCTAGCACCTCTGATTCCCACAGGTTTCCCCTCTTACGTTACAACAGGACTTTGGCAGACACAGAAACTGCCAGATTTTACTTCACCTTGACACCATCAGGCTCCTTTGTGTCCACTATGCCAATACCTCAAGGGTTCAACGATGTTCAAAGAGTCTAGTAATTCTAATGAGACAAATATGACATAAATGTGGATGGAATTTGCCTCATGATTTGGTACAAGTTTCTGCGGCAGATTTGCTTTGTATCACTGCGTCCAAATGTTGAAGCTGTCCAGCAAGCCAAACAGGAATCACGAGTCTTAGAATCAACAGGTGCAAAAAACTTGTGCCAAACACTTGCGGAGTTTTCGTTGGAAGCGTAGTAACCTTTGCATAACCTTCATCATCGCTTACTAAAGCACTGAATCGATGCAACTAGCCAAGCTGCTGCACTGCGCCTGACCACGTGAGCGCTCACTAGGATACTAGGCAAGTGAAAATGCAAGTTCATCCAAGCTGTAAATTTGTAGACTGTTGTAGATTGTAGATTCGTCATGAGAGATTTCCTTACATCTAAGTGCCTGGTTTGCAAGAAGCATTCGGAAGGAGCTTCAACTCATGACCTTTTCTGATTTCTTTGAGCCTCGCAGTCGTTACTAGGGAAAGCTCCATGTGCTGCTTGACGACAGGCTCCCAAAGCGTCGCCTTTCAGACCTGACAAAGCTGGAAGCTGGAGTCCAAGATAGTCCAAGCAAGAAGCTATGCTGCAAGGAGAGCCACTTTCAATACCCATGCAGAACGTGTCACAACTTGCTCAACAAGAGACTGGGCGACGGTGGATATTAATGATATTACATGATTTTTGTTAGCCTCTCTGAGATTCCATCAAATGAATCAAATGTGTTCAAATGTTAGAATCCTATTAGAACACAATGCCAATGCCATATGACATATGTATATATATATATATATCATGATGTTCCTGGACAAATCTTGCCGAAGTCACAGAGGAAGCCGCCAAGTCCGGAAGACCAATGAGACGGGCCTCAGCTTCGCCGCTTCGCAGCTTCGCAGCTTCGCTGTCTCTGTGACAGTCGCTGTTTTGTCGCTGTCCTACCAAGTCCTACCAAGTCCTACCAAGTCCTACCCCATTCTGGCCCTGGTTCTGGTGGTTCGCCTACCCGTCATGGCACTGTCATGGCCATGGACAAAAACTTGTGCATTGCCACGAGGACTTTCAAGGGAAAAGTGTGCTCCCATCTCCAACGGTGAACCATGGTGAACCATCACTGCCTAGTCACATTCATGTTTTGAATGACATTTGTGGATGACTTCGTCAATCTCCTGCAGCAGTGCTCGATGAAAAGTTGTGAAGGACAACATGGCAACACCCAGAATCATAGAACCAAATGACTTTGGCGACAACTGGGTATATGAAATACTTTGTAGGATTTCTAGATCTTTGGCAAAACATCATTTTGAAACCAAAACTATAGCAGTCAGGGAGAAATCAACTCTGTCACCGAAACCATGCAAGATATGAAATTTGATCTTCAAAAGGTTCTTAACACAGTCTCACGAATACAAGACATTCTTCTAATGTCGAACGTACAATCCCCGCCTTGCTGCAAACCTGGCCACTTTGCCAAGTGTGGAACCAGATCACATGCGAAAACAAATGCAGAAGGTCCAAACATCTTGGACTCAGAAAACTCAGCAAACATTTTCTAAAGCATCTTTCAAAAGGTCACGCAGGTTGTAAAGTTCTGAAACAGCTCGTCGCTCATTGAGCAAGACATGGCAGCCAGTGATATATTGACAGGCTGAGAAGTGAAATCGTCCAGATAGTCCTACCATCATATGATTGACATTTATAGCCGTGTATATATATATATATATATATATAGCCGTCCCATGTCAAGCCTAAAGAGGTTCTGTGAGACTTCGATGGCCCATTCCATGCGCCATTCCGCACCTTACGACCGCTGATGACGCCTTCGCGTTTCTCGGCCTTGGCCTTTTGGCCCAAGAGCCAGCACTCACCTGCACCGGGCCTCAAGAAGCAGTGCCAGCACGAAGCACTACACGACTTCCACGCAGTGACCTGCCCTGAGTCACACCAGGTATGCGCACAAATTGCTGGGCACAAAGGAGAAGAAGACGCAAGTCCTTGGAAAAATGCCACGAAGTGCACAAGTTGGCACATCACCATTGAACCAACTGCAGCTGGAAATTCATGGGAAAACCAAGGATGCTCTTCATGAAAAGCCAAAGGTTTTGGCAAAAATGACTGTCGTTCGAATTCGATACTGTCAATGAAGAGGAAGATGTAAAAACGAGGTATCGCATGACCCAGTGGTGTGGTATCATCCACATCCCCTTCCAGCACTTTGGGGCAAGCACGGACTGGCAACACAGCTGCTTCGGCATTGAGGAGCGTCTAGAACCCAGGCACCATTTGGCGCAGCTCCGAGCACCTGCAGAAATCTATGTTACTCAGTCATGGCCTGATCGATGCATCGAATTGTCGAATCGTCACATCGTCACATCCTCACATCACATCGTCACTGGCCTCTGGATCTTTGTAAAAGATACCCTGCTCACTACAAGGGAGTTTTGCCGCTGCCTGACACCACAAGTCAAGTCAAAGTCAAGTCACATTGCACAAAGAACGTGAGTGTTTGCATTTTGAATAAGTGCACAGATTAACCAATTTGATGAGCCTGTAAAGCGAGAAGCAAGCAAAGGAAACCTGGAAAAACATTGGTGACTTAATGGACTTAGTGACAACAAATGTGAACAGTGAACACCACTCTGAAAACTAAGCACAACTGAGACACACACGTGACTCGGGGGCCATGGCTCAGGCAACCTCACACATGGCGCAACAGGTTGACGTTCAAACATGACTCATGACCAAGTCGGACAGCAACAAGAAACAAACAAACCAAACAAGAAAACAAACACACAACAATCAAAGAACATTCGCCGAAGAAACAGCAAAAATGCAAAGCAGTCATGGGGAAACAAGTGGCGAAAATTTAAAAAAACATGATGTGACATTCTAAAGCATGAAACAAACAGGTTTTTTGAAATGTGCGTGATCCACATCAATTTTTTCACGGTATTTGGGAAGAAATGAGCAACCCGCTAATCAACTGTTGTCACGCAACCTGCTAAGGAAATATAAGGAGCAAACCGCATGCGCGGGTTGCATGACGCTGCAATGATCCAACCAAGCGCAATGAACCAAAAAAAACAGCAGCAATCGGTTCAAACAGAATACGTGCCAGTCTTAAATCGTGCATTGCGTTGTTTTCCCGAGGGGTGTTTCAACAACCTTCTCTGGTCTGGTTTAGCGTTTTGCCTCTTTTCAGCCAAAGAAGCAAACACCTTCACTCGTTTGCATTGGGCATTCAAAAGATTTTTTGTACTGGACCCCATACATTTTTTTTTGCATTTTCAAATGTGTTTTGCAAAAATTACAAACGAAAATAAAACAAGGTGGCATCCCCAACAGGACAGGTGGCAAAAAAGAGTTACATTTACATCAACCAGTGCACGCCCATCTGACTGAAGTTGCTTTGCACACTGCAATCAAACCCACAACTTCCACTGAAACCTCCACCCCAAAAGCCTGACAGGAACCGCGAAACAAAAAAAAACGCACCAACACCCGAATTTCGAAGGGACGTTGTGGAACTACCCGGAACTTCTGAAACGATTTGGAACCGCCCCGGAACCTGCACCGCAAGAAATACCGCTCCCCAAACCACTGAAAAGTTCTCAATGAATAGCAATGATATGTATCTATTAAAATATTATGCAGATTGGCACGTGGACATGAAGACCTGAGAAGATAGACATGTGGAATAGATGTTCCGAGAACTGGAAACAAAATGTTGTTGGATGTGCCTACAAAGACCACTTGGAAACACCCCAAAGGGAGAGGATGAAATGAGATGAAATGCGCAAGGTCATGGAATCAAAGTCACAAACCAAGACTCCAAATCAAACAACGACGCTCAAACGTCGGGGTAGGACGTCATCCGAGCACATCAGCAACAGAACCATCATCATCATCATCATCATCATCATCATCATCATCATCATTGTTATCATCATCAACAACAAAACCATCACCATCACCAACATCATCATCATCATCATCATAATCATCGCTGTCGTCGTCGTCCTCATCGCCATCAGCAAATCAGCATCATCGCCATCGTCATCATCAATATCATCATCAACAGTTTCTCCATCGCTGAGTTCCCCCTGTCTTCAAAGTTACATGACGTTGCAAATGCGTAGCATCAAGAGCGTCTTTTAAGTTACGTTGAAATACATGAAATTGCAAGAGCGTAGCATCAAGAGCGTAGCATCAAGAGCGTAGCATCAAGAGCGTCTTCTAAGCTACGTTAAAATACATGTTATTTTCTCATGGTTGCACTCACGAACATGTCATATGAACAACAGTGCATGCATATGCACTTATTTTGACCACGGGGTTTTCAAGAGTCTGATTTGCCTCGCATCACGTACAGACGGGTAGGCTACGAGCCAACGGCTCGCATGAATTGGAAGTCTGGTTTTCAAGTTTCCACATCAGACGAGTCAATCTCATCAATGGCCGGAAATGATCCAAGTTGTTGGATGGAGCACTGCAGAGTTTGCGCGACTTGAATGACCAAACGTTTTTTTTCCTCCGGTATGGCCGATCACGCTCTGAGGCTCGGTCCTTACATGAGAAGAAGCAGTTTAAAATAACATCTACATAGACACCTGTGGTCATGTAGGATGGCAAATCAAAAGCACAAACAAAACACAAACACAAACCACCAAGGGCGAAACGCAAATCCCCCAGCCAGATATGCGCTTCGCCATCCAGCAGAGAAACAAAGCAAAAAGCGAACGGGGCAGGGCCCAACAAAAACAACCACAACCAAGATTTGCCATGGACACAGTGGTGAAAAGCCACCGTGTCGCAACTCACAAAAAGATGCACAAACGAATTGGTTGCTACCCAGAAAAGTGAAACACGCTTCTTAATTGTTGTTGCTGACAGACAACAAAGGAAAGCATTAGCTGTACACTATTGCATTCTAGCCTCTCAGAGGCCTCTCACAAGTTCTTGCTCAGGTGTTCAGTTCAAGACGAACTGTGTTTGCCGTGTACAGAACGGTGGGTTCAGGAGCAGGAAGAGTAAATTGTTGGCAGCCAAATTGCAATTGTACCGCCCCCCTTACGGGGAGCAGCTCCGTGGCAGTGGCTAGGACAGTCACATAAGGCAAGGTAGGTGACCAGTCAAAATCCGCCACTCACCAAGTTCATCACTGGGTAGACATGAATACCGTACCAGGTCGAAGGGGAGAACAATCCTGTCACAACATGCAGAGTCAGCAAAACATTGTGTCATGACCGGCCTGCGGCCGCAACTGGAAAGCAAATTCTCAGACGTGCACAGTCACAGGGCGCCAAGTTAGAAAAACCTGCAGAACTGTTCAGGTGCTTCCCGAGTGTCCTCGTCTCAGTACAATACCTGCAGTGCATTGCATCGTCGCAGCCAAGGGGTTCAGCTAAAGAATCCAGAACAAACTCCACTCTCCCACCGAGTGGGCCAGCTGGATACCATCGACTCCGAAAAAGAAACTCCCGATCCATGTGCGCACACTTTGCTGCTCACGGGCGCCCCGGGCTGTCCAACAGAGAGTGTCACTGGATCGCGCCAGTGTAACTCGCTGCAGTGCAGCCTGGTCCATGGCTCCGGCCGGCTAAATCCTACTCCCCTTGCAGAACAAGACAGACGTGCCAGAGGGACAAGGCAACAAGACAGCCAAGACAAACAAAAGAACAGACGAATTCAGGGACAAACCAACCTCCAACACTTTTTTTGGAGTTTGTGGCAAGTAATTCCCGATTATCTTATCTTGGAAGCAACTGGATGCGAGCAGAGAGAGTTGTCGCTGCTCTACTGTTCTGCAAGCATGATTCCGGCCGCGCTGAACGTAGTCATCCGCAAAGAAAAGTTTTCCCATCTTTTGATACCCACCGTGTCCAGGTTGATGGTGATTTTGGCCAGGGGCCACGGGTCAGGCAAGGTGGACAAGCAGCAAAGCAGCTCAGTTGTGGTGGGACAGCAGAGAGTTCTTGCGGCTGAGCCCGGCATTTGAGGGATGCCTGGATGCCTTTCCTGCGTGTGGCGTGTTCTTTGGAGGCCTCATATACCTTCTGGAGCTGTGGGCTGTGTTGACGGACCATGGCATGCAAGTACTTGCTGCAGAGGTACTTCCAAGTGTCTCCAAAGTTGCTGGGGTTTGGAGAAGCTTGTTTTGGTGTCTCTCCCCGCACGTCTTTTTTTTCCTTCCAACGCCAGATGGCTCTCGCCAGGTCGTTTAACAAACCGGAAATACAATTGCATTTGGCAAATTCAGCGAATTAGATCTGTGGCAACTTCAGTCCTGTCGACCATGTGCAATCAAAAGAGAACTGATTGGATCGATACATAATCCATTGTGCTGTCACCGTGCAAAAACAGGAACGCAGACAACCAAAACAAAAACAAAACAAAGCACACAAGAACAAACAAAAAGCAAAACAACAAAAAACAAGACAGCACGGCTGGTGGTCAGCTGATCAGTTCATAGTCCTTGCAATGTACAATAAAGATGATAGCTTTGTATCACCAAGGGATTGGTATGGCAGAGGTACAACAAAAACAGAAAGACCACAGCAATGCCATACAGAAATCTGTGAGCCAGGAATCAACAAAAGCACAATGCGGAAACCAAGACTCCCCCCAACCAGGAGCCTCGAGATCACAAAGTGCAGCCGCACGGGCAACATGCTTACAGATTGTTAGATATGATCCCAAAGCCAGTGATGACACAGTCATGGGCACATGGGAAAGAGGAAATAGAGGGTAGTGAGACATAAGTGAAACAGCATCTACGGTGAAACATCAAGAGCTACAGACGGTCAGGGGCCACTCAGAGTCCGCTCACATGTGCTTTGCCTATCATCAGCTTCGAATGAGTATCTATTGAAATAATGCTCTTCGTATCGTTCGAAGACGTACTAGATCCTTTTTCAGTACGTGGCAGAAGCAAAAGCGCTTTCTGTGCTTGACTAACTTCGTAGCTGGTTGAGATTGTGCAGCTGTCCAAGATGCAACTCAGTTGGCGGAGTTGTCGCGTGGCATTGTCAAGGTCAGCAATCCGTTGAGTCGGGACGTCTGAAATGCCACGGAGTTTCTGGCCTGCTTTCTCAAGAAGTTTGGTGGCAGTTTCGATTTCTTCACTTGCAATCTGACACAATGTGAGTTGGGCAATTGATGTGGCCATGCGGTGCAGCGCAGCTTTCTTCATGACGGACATGCTGTCGGGGTAGGCTGTGTGAGTACGACAGCTGGTGCAAAAGAGGCCTACCGTGATACCAGTCGTAGGTCTTTGAATACAACGCCTTCATGGTCGTTCCCCCCCCTGGCAATCGCCAACAAATACTATGACCACCAAACCAATCAACCGAAGAGCATGCGATATCGACTCATTTTAGTACGAGCGTCGGACCTCGACTGGCTGGAAGGAGATCGGCTCAAGGACCTACAAGCACAAGCAACGGCTGGCCATAAGTGGATCCCGGCACAGCAACTTCCATACAGCGAAATCATTTTATACGCATAGGCCGCTGACCGCACGAATCGGCCTACATACGTGCGCCTGCCATCTGGATTGTACAATGCACGCACTGGGC